GTGTGGGTGGGTGGGTGGAGAGGGAGGGGGGTTATGTGTAGTCATGCAGCCTACATCAGTCACAGCCTTCTTGGCTCTCTCGTCAGCAGAGCGAAACTCTGAGATCAGCTCTTCATTCTCACTGGACAGTCGGGCAAGGTCGGCCTCCAGTTTTCTCTTCAGGATTGTCAGACTCTGGTTCTGGGGAAAGAAAATTTGAGATTATGTGATGATCCATTTGTCATCGGACATGTCAAAAGAAATCATTAAGAATCAAGAAAATGGGATTATAAAACCATAAGACAATCAACTCATCAAAACGTGCACTCCTGTGTGTGTGTGTGTCTCTGTATGGGACTCCGTGGTCTCCTGTGTAGCCATCTACCTGCATGCTGATCTCACTGAACCTCTCTGTTGTGTCCACCAACTCCTGCTCAATTTGTTTGCGGGCCCTCTCAGATGCTTCCAGGCCTCCTCTCAGCTCCTCCATCTCTGCCTGCATCAAGCACAGACGCCGCTCCTGGAGGCTGTACTTCTCCCGCAGCTCATCGTGCTGGCGGGCGTCCTCGTCCATCTGCACCTGCAGATCCTGGGTGAGACACAAGGGTTACTGTTGTAGTATTTTCAAACTACAAAGAAGTACTTTCTTACACCGCCTCAAATGAAACTCCTACTTTGATCTGCTGCTGCAGCTTCTTGAGGGTTTTGACCAACTCAGCATTGTTCCTGTTGGCATGCTCAAGCTGAATCTCCATTTCATTCAGGTCTCCCTCCATCTTCTTCTTCATCCTCAGAGCCTCAGCACGACCTTTGGCCTCTGCTTCCAGACTGGCCTGCAATGACTCCACTGCACGCGCATGGTTCTTTCTAGATGGCAGGTCATAGAAACACAGATACAGATTGTTAATCATGGTGATCAATCAAAATCTTGTTCTTTTCTTAAGTTCTCCTGCTGGACACAAGAGTCTCCCCTCACTTCACTGTAATAAAGTACCATTATCATCACAAGTGGAATGTTGCACAAATCGTGGCTTCAAGTTTCTACATCACACTTGAGAAAGTGAATGCAGGAGGGAATCCTTAATAACTGTGGAGAGACCCTTGTTGTTTGGAAAAGTCAGCACCCATCCCCACCCCAAAAACTGTCCTACGGTAATTATAAAGATTTACTTTTAGGTTAGACCCTTTACTTTGTAATGTTTGTCTTTTGTCTATGTGTGTGTCTATGAGTGTGTGTGAGTTTTTGGTGTGTGTATACAGTCTTTACGCATGCTTGTGACAGAATCTCTATTTTCTAACCTGGTGACTTCAAACTCCTCCTCTTTCTCGTGGATTCTGCGGTCGATGTCGGCCTTGACCTGAGCGAGCTCCAGCTGTACACGTACCAGCTTACCTTCCTCCACCTGGATAGGACACATACACATACAAACACACATTTTTACAACTGGAAAATTAAACTGGAAAAGACAATTCTGCTATGGACAGGAGCAAAAGTCCCTTGTTTGCTCCGACTTCCTCCATCAAATCCATCACAAGCTCTCTGGTGGACAACCTTCTGTGCTCTCTGCCACTAACACTGCAGGCATTAATGGCTGTCTTAATCATTTTTGATCATTTTCTCTTCAGAGCTTTGTTAAACAAATCCACCAGCAGCCAAACCTTATTTGAAATAATCTGTCAATATTTTTCTTAAATGGTTCTGCAGTCAGAACTCACGCATGCCAAGATTTCTGTTATCCAATAGAGGCTCTTTGTACCTCCAGTGAAGCTTCTGCCTCCTCCAGAGCCAGCTGCAGTTCCTCCTTCTCCACCTCCAGTTTTTTCTTCGCCTTCTGCAGCTCGTGGACGCTGCGGCCTCCTTCTCCAAGCTGGTCCACCAATTCCTTGATCTCCTCTGTGTGGAGAGAGGGCATGTTGTCAAGAAAACATGACAAGAATATACACGTGTAATCGCACTGTGCCACAGTGTCTGCAGCAGCTACCTGTGAGGGTTTTGTTTTCCTTGCGGACAGTTTCTATCTGATCCTGGCTCTCCTCGTAGACCGTCTTCAGCTTGTAGAGCTCAGTCATGTAGGAGCGGCTCTCCTTCTGGCTGTTGTCCAGTTCCAGTTGCAGCTCCTCGTTCTTCTGGCTCCACTCAGCCGCCAGTTTGTCGAAAACTCGCTGTTTTTTGTCCAGAGCTGCCGCTGCTGCAGTGGACTGGACACACAAACGCAGACAGAAATACATGTTTTGTGATCTCAGATTATATCTACACACTCACACATCTGTTTTTCTGTAGGTGCATTTGTTAAGTCCACCTTACAGCTAAAAGTATTAATTAGTTTACCTTTTTGTACTGATACATAGCTTTCCAAAAAAAGCTAAAAACTGAAAGAAAAATGCTGAATTTCTTTATCAGAAAGTATAGAATTGGTTGGGCAACTTAACTCCAAGTAATGCACGAAGCATCCCCATATCTGTTTGACTGTAGGTGGCCTTAAGCAGCATGTGTACAGGGCAAGGAAGCTTGAAAGGCACTTTAGCCATTGGTTAACAGCTGGTGCTTCAAGGTTTTTTTTTGTCCATTTAAGAACAGTATAACATTTTACCAACCAATTTTACCTTTTAGATTTTCAGGAAAGATACCAATGATACAATGACGTGGGTGGAGAGCAAATGTTAAAGAAGCCATCCTGGTTAACTGATTATTGGTTTCATATAGAGTTAAAATACAGTTGCTGGTTAAAGGCCTGAACTGAGCGGACTGTGTGTCCTATGTGTTGAGTTACAGACGTTCATTTCTCTGCATTCATTTGTCTGCATGCATGTGTGTGTGTTACCCTTTCCAGGTCTATGGTGAGGTCCTCCACCTCTCCCTGAAGTCTCTGCTTGACCTTCTCCAAGCTGGCCGCTCTGGCTTGAGCCGACTCCGCTGCCTCCTCAGCCTCCTGGAGACGCACTGCAAGTTTGCGCCTTAGGAAGAGTGGGTTGAGGTAGTGAGGGAGAGGCAACCGTGGGATTACATTAAAAGGTATCCAGACAACCACCATGTCATTTATTACTGATGTGTACAACCCTGTATTTTCCAGATCTATTCAACCTACTTGGTCTCCTCCAGCTCCTCAGTGCGGTGGATGGCGTCCGTCTCATACTTGCTCCTCCAGGTGGTGACGTCGGCGTTGAGCTTGGACACGAGGCGCTGCAGCTCCCCGCGGGCCTCTGACTCCTCCTCAAGCTGCTCTTTAAGCAGGGAGAGGTCATGACGGGCGTTGGCCAGGGCCACCACCGCTGTGTTACGACCCTGCGCAGAGGGAGAGAGGCAGGAGGTTTTACTGGAGGTCTCATAGTGATTTTATAGGCAAATTTTTAAAGGCAACAAAAAGAGAAAAAAACAGGACAGATAGTCACCCAGAGGTCAGAGGAAAGACAAACTGCTGTAGGTCCTGTGGCTCTCACCTTTGAAAATGTGTGAGTATCATGCACCCCCACTGGGTGTGTGTGTTTGTGGTGACTTGTACCTTGTTCTCCTCGTCCACCTGTCGCTTGAGTTCGTCGATCTGTAAGGTGAGGGTGGCCTTCAGCCTAGTCACCTGGTTCAGCTTACTCTGCACGTCCTCCAGCTCCCTGTTCAGGTCGTTGTTCTCCGCTACACACACATACACACACACAAGGAATTTTTTTTAATGTTTTTTTTTTTCATCTCCAAGCAACAGTGTGTGTGGGCCGCCATGTTTATGTGTTCTCACCGGTCAGATGGATTTTGGCGGTGCTGAGCTCAGTCTGAGTGCGTTCCATCTCAGCCAGGCGGGCGTTGGCCTCTGCCAGGTTGTCCTCCAGCTTATGAGCGTGGGCCTCAGAGTTCATCTACACATGTAAACGCACAAATACACACAGATGCAAAAGCAGAGAGTGTGTATGAGTTTATAATCAGGTATGATTTGTTTTCTTTGAGTTAACTGATTTTCCAAATACCTACACACCCTTGCTTTCTGAGTGACTTCCACAGTGACGTTGAGGTCTTCGATCTCTGCCTTCATGCTCTGTTTGTCCTTCTCCAGTTTCACTTTTAGCCTGGTCAGGTTCTCCAGCTGCTCGCCTAGCTCTGCCATCGCATCCGAGTGCTTCTTCCTCATGGCAGCCGCCGTGGCCTCTGATTGGAGTGCTGCCTCCTCCAGCTCCCGTCTCAGCTTCAGCAGGTCTGTCTCCCGCTTCCTGTTCTGCTCAATCTGAAAGAGTCACAGATAAAGTTAGAGAGGGTTTAAAAGGACAGAGGTCAAAGTTGATTGACAGCTGTCAGTCACACTCACCTGGGCGACGGTGGCTCCTCCCGCCTCTTCCAGCCTATCACTGAGGTCCTCTAGATCTCGTGATAGCTCTCCCCTCTGCTTCTCCACCTTTCAGAGAATTATACGTGTAAGTACAAAATTGTGGTGGTGCAGGTTTAAACTACAGTGGCCTGTTAAAACTAAGCTGTTGTAGTTTGAGTCTGTACCTTGGCTCTCATGGCTCGTTCAGCTTCAATCTCCTCCTCCAGCTCCTCAATACGGGCCTAAATGGAATCACACAAACAGCAATAAACTTGCATCATAAAACCATTTATCATCCGCCTTTACTTCTTCAACTCTCCCCTTTTTCAGACATTAGCACTAGAGGTAAGATCAAGAGGATCACCAAAGTCAGTAGAATTCATCCTCTGTGAAACATGAATGTCTGCACAAAATTTATTGTCAATCTACCAAACAGTTGTTGATATTTGTGGTGGTGGGCAGACTGACATTCGTTGAGGCACAGAAGAAGAAACAATTGAAATCAACTAGTGTAGTTCTCGGTAATAGAATCCTGCAGACTCCTCTGACTACAAACCTGGTGCTCTTTGAGTTTGCGGCTAAGCATGGAACTGAGAGCCTGTTCGTCCTCCAGCTTCGAGTTCATGTTGTTGATCTCAAAGTCTCTCCTGGATGAACACACAGAAAACACAACACAGCAGAGAAAGATGAGTGTGTAAGAGAGTGGGGAAACACACACAGATATATTGCTACTGTTCTGTATAAGAGTTTGTTTTGTATGTTATAAGGAAGTCAAGATACTTTTGAAACTTTAATGAACTTGCCAGCTTCAGTGTGTGGCTGTGTGTGTGTGGGTGGGGGTGTGTGTGTCTCTCACTTCTTGATGACCTCTTCCAGGTCGAGCTTAGCGTTCTCCATCTCATTCAGGTTCTCTATGGTCATCTTCAGGTCTCCCTCCGCCTTCCTCCTCGCTTTCTCCACCTCTGCCCTGATCCTCTTCTCCTGCTCCCAGCTGTCCTCCAGCTACACACACATACACACACACACAAACATCCAAACACTATTGCTGAATATATTCATCTGCAGGTTTCAAGAAGACAAATATTTCCGGTCTTTCTGTCTTGTACCTCATTCACTTGGCTGTTGAGCTTGCTGTTGGTCTTGGTCAGATGGATAACTTTGTCTTCTTCTGTTTGGAGATCGTCCAGAGTTTTCTGATTTAATTATAAAAATATATAACTTTCTCACTATTAAACTCATAAGCATAAAAAAATATTCTGTATGTCCATGCACGTTGTTCTGTGTGCATATCCATGTTTGTCTACCTGTTGTAGTTCTTCCAGAGCTCTCTTTTCCTTCTGCAGCCTGCCGATCTGGTCGTCTCGCTGGCTCAGGTCACCTGTCAGAGTTCGCACCCTAAAGTCCAGACCCTAAACACACCATTGGACATAATTCAGTGGTCATCTCTGACTTTGTCCATTACTCCAGATGTCTCCAGATCCTCCTCCTCTCTACCTGTTTCTCCTTCTCAGTCCGAGCCATTGTGGACTCCAAAGACTCCAGGTCTCTTTTCAGCTCAGTCAGTTCGCCCTCTAGCTGCCTCCTCTGACCATGGAGGGAGGCTGCGTTGCCTTCTTCTTCCTCCAGGCGCTCACGCAGATCCTACATTCACAGTTAAGACAGTTTTTCAGCAGTTTTTAGGACATACAACGTGTGTTGTATTACTACCATGTAACTACATGCTCAGATGGAATTTTACTGTTTACAAAGGTAAAATATGGTATGGTTTATTTATAACACATTACCTGCACTGACTCTTCCAGCTGGACCTTTTGGTGCATCAGCTGGGTGCAGCGCTCCTCAGCATCACCCAGGGTGTCCTGCTCCTGTGGGGAGACAAGGAGATAAGGTATGTGTGTATGTAGTGTGTCTTTGTTTATAACTATACAGGTGCACTGACAGAGGGTAGTTGTATCACTGGCTCTGTCTTGAGCTGGTGAACTCAAATGACAAGATCTAGATCTAAGTGTTTTTAAGGACATTTTAAGGACTTAAATACCCCAAAAGTATTTTATTAAAGTTCCCTTCCACTCAAAAAAAGTATTGATTGATCTTCACTGTGCAGAATGATGTATGTGCAGAGTTTGACAATAGAAGGATGTTTTCACATTCATCTGCTGAAAGTAGAAAGTTTCTCTGTGCTCATTGAAAATCAAATCAGAGCATGATTTTGATATTACAAGTAGTTTGGAAGTAATTTGTGGTCCAGTATGCAACTTATACAAGTGTGTTGTATACCACACACCAGTGCATAAGTATAGTGGAAATTATACAATAATACAATTATACAAACACCCATTATTGTTCCAAGACTATTGTATATGCCGTAATACATGTCTGAGGGTTATCTCTAAATTTCTAAGTCACAGTCTGTGCCTCTCATGTACTAAAATTACATTCAAGAACAGAGCTATGTGTGCTTATTTCTTTTAAATACCCAGCGATGTACAACATAAGGTTGTTTAACAACACCTACCATTGTTCTGAAGTATAAAGTATTGCCTCAATATCAAAGACAGCGGTAAGTGTTGTTTCAATATCTTCTGGATTTTTCAAAGATCATATTTATTTTTTGAAAAACTGATTGTTGGGGCAGTGACTCAAATGTTATGGTAATACATGAGAGACTCAAAACGGGGGCTCAAGATTTCTGTGACCCTTTAAACTAAAGAAAAACCAAATGTACATGACAAGCAGAGGATTTTACCCTGATGCTTCAATCTTTCTTTGAGTGCTTGCCAGAAGAAGTATTCTGACCTCATGTTTTAATTACTGCACATAAAGATTTTGCCAATAGACTGCAATCTCAGGGCAACTCTCAGTAAGAGAGCAGACCACGCTGTTCCACATATGTCTGAAAATCTTCTGAATGTAACATAAATACACACAGTCATCAGCTGAGTACACTACTGTGTGCAGATGTGCACTTACTGCAGCCAGCGCCAGGGCGAGGTCGTTCTTCTCCTGTGACAGAGTGACCGTCTTCCCCTCCAGATCTTTGATTTTGCCCTCCAGCTCCTTAACTTTCTCCACTGCCGCCCTCAGCTCCTCTTCCTTAGCCTTGAAGGTCTCCTCCTGACGGGCGACCATCAGCAGGGGCTTCACCTGCAGGAGGCAAGGCAGGACGTATGATGATGAGTGATGATAATGATTTATTAACTGAGATGAGATTAAACATCTGCATGTTACCTTATTGTAGAGTTTCCACCAGCCCCAGAAGCGTAACTGAAGGAACTTCCTCACGTTGCGCTGGATGGCCATCAATGCAATTCTGCATCGCACACACACACACAAATGCAGAAAAACTGTAAGTACTCACAAGCATTCAGTGAATACTACGTCTCTTTGACCTAGCTGTCTTACAGGTAAACACATTTTGTGCACGTACACACAGAAACACAGGCACACACTGACCGTCTGTCCACCATCTTCTTAAACTCGATCCTCATTAGAGTTCCTCTGAGTTGAGCCTGCAGCATGGTGATGATCTTTGCCAGCCGCTCGTCACGCATGTCCTCCAGCTTCGCCAGGACACCTGCACGGAAAAACACCTGGAGAGGAAACACAGAGAGGGGAAAGAGGGGAGAACAGGAGGGGTTAGAAAAAGAGAAAAACATGATTAAAGCCTTTTATCAGCAGTATGCTCTCATTTGTGAACACACGATTCACAGTCTTTCCAAAATTAAAATATAAGTTCTAATATGTTGATATTATTATCAATATATGTTGATATGTATGTGCTGAATAAGAGCTGTTGTTTTAGATAAGGCTGAACAGTGGTGCACCTTGGTGTGGCCGATGCGATACTCCATATTATCCAAGCTAACTGAACTCAGGAGGAGCTCAGAGGCCTTCTTGTTGTCAACAAATCCCTTAGGGATGACGCTGGGGTTGAGGATATAGTACCTAGAAGACATTAGGCAGAGGGACAGAAGGAAAAAAGGGGAATAGGGAGGAAATGGCAAGTAAAATTATGAAAAGTGAGGGTAGACAAAGTCAAAACAGGAGAATGAGAATGAAATGCAGGAGTTTTACGGGGGCAAAAGGAGACAATCATGAGGTGGAGGAACATCAGGATCATGGTTTTGGTGAAATGTGACTGTTAAATTAACATGGAGATGAATAAAGAAATAATGGGAGTCAGACCTTTGTTTGAATTCTGGGTACTGTAGTCTGTTGGGGAATCCTTTCCTGCAGATACGGATGCCCTCCAGCACACCGTTACAGGCCAACTGGTGCAGGATCAGATGGTTATCTGTCACACCTTCACAGCATGAAAGAGAGAAGAGGTGATCATCAACACCAAGAAGTTCAAGTAGATAATGAATATTTTACCAATGTCTCAAAAAGAATATATTTCTTAATATAGTGACCACATTTCACAGTTTGAGACAGATTATGTGATTGACAGTGAGCCTCAAATACAAACAGTGGCTCCACGCACTCACCTGACTTCTTGAACTCATTAGGCACGATGCAGCGGACGAAGTGGGGAGCAGTGCTTCGCAGGGTGCTCATTAGCTTGTTCAGTTGTTCCTGTTATATAAATAATTAAACATACCAGTGAGATTCTGAGCATGTTGCAGTAATCTTAAAAGTGTCTTTGTACTTGTATCTACGTACTTCAGATCAATGGCTTGATCCTCATTTCTGTTTGGTTAAGTAAACCATACTTTTGTTTATAAAATGTTTTAAAAATTTATAAAGTTGTTTGCAAGCCAACACAAGAACAGGTTAATTAAAATAATGTTTTATTTAATGACCATAATGGTTAATTTTGTTGTTGTCTAATGGGTAGATCTGTTTATCTTTCAATAAATATATTAAACACAGGAATGTAAGATACTGTAATGTTAGTAATTAACAGTATAGAATGGAAACGTAAAAAGTATTCTGATTGCTTTTCAACTACAGTCAGATTGTAGCATGTATAGAACACTGTATGAAGTTGTGTGTGTGTTTGTGTGTGTGTGGGTGTGTGTGTGTGTGTGTGAGTTACCCTGTAGAAGTTGGAGACAGTTTGAAAGGAGGACCCTTTCTTCTGTTTCTTGGTCCCTGCAGCGGCCTCCTCCTCTTTGAAGAGCACAGCCAGCAGAGGCATGGAGGACTTCTGGAAGAGTCCCACCACTGTCTCATTCAGAGGGTCTTTGTTCTTCTCCAGCCAGCCAGCAATGTTGTAGCCCACCTGTGAGAGGCACAAACAACTAAATGACACCTGTACAATAAAAGTCACAGAACTAACTTTAAAATCAGAGATCTCAGTGACTTTGTTGACAGAGGTACACAAAATTGCAGATAATTAGAAGCTAACATTTCTTCTCAGATAAAAGAGAAACAAGACTGAATAAGATAAGGCTATGCAACGCCCGACTAAAGATTTACTTAGCTGAGTAGTAGTTGTTCATTCAGGCCAATACTCTACTCATTAGTACTATTAATTTAATTATTTAAATATATTTATTTTTTATCAGCATTCATTATTCTTTTAACTATCATCCTAACACAAACACACACACACACACACACACACACACACATACTCTTTCCCATCCCTACGGAGGGATTTGTGTAGTTTCTGGCTTCTAACATCTCCATGTGAAATGCTACAACGAACCAGTACTCACAGTGCCGGCATAGTGCACCAGTTCAAAGTGGGCCTCGGGTCCTTTCTTCCCCCCTTTCGGCTTGAGGAAGTTGGAGGACTTGCCTAGGTGGTTGTCATACAGAGCTGTTTTGAAGGTCACGTCTGTCGCCTTTGGAAACACACACTGTTCCTCCAGGATGGAGAAAACTCCCATTGGCTAGAGAGGAGACACAGAGAAAGAGTTGGAAATAGAAAAGAATGGAGACCATGTCCATGCTTGTGCAGTTAATGCTACTGTGTGTGTGTGTGTGTGTGTGTGTGTGTGTGTGTGTGTGTGTGTGTTTGTGAGTTACCCTCTCCAGCAGGTCGATGCAGGCCTGCAGGTCCAGGCCGAAGTCGATGAAGACCCAGTCGATGCCCTCCTTCTTGTACTCTTCTTGTTCCAGCACAAACATGTGGTGGTTGAAGAACTGCTGCAGCTTCTCATTGGTGAAGTTGATGCACAGCTGCTCAAAGCTATTGTGCTGGAGAAGAAAAGCAGGGTTAGGTCATGGGAGGATGAGAAGACATGATCATACCTTACTAAATCTTTTCAAATCTCACCTCAAAGATCTCAAACCCAGCAATGTCCAGCACTCCTATGAAGTACTGCCGCTGCATCTTGGTGTCCAGGGTCCTATTGATGCGGGTCACCATCCACTTGAACATGCGGTCGTAGATGGCCTTTGCCAGGGCGCCGATGGAATACACACACTGGTCCTGGTTCTGACCTGATATTTCAAGTTCAAATGTTAATAACTGTAGACGAGTGTATTGTCTGTAGGTGTTGAAAAGAAAATGTTAATCATCTTAATAACATCTTTGCAATACCTTTGGTCACAAACTCATTTCCAACCTTGACCCGGGGCCGCGTTATGCCCTTCTGCAGCTCCCCAGAGCTGATAGCCATGAGATGGGCGACTTTGTCAGCCACTTTAGGAAAGTAAGGAAGAAGGGGGACAAGAAATCAACAACATTATTTCAACAATGTCTTTTAACACATGCTGAAAAATGGGCCAGAACGCACAAATGAGATAGGGACAGATGAAAGGTTGTAGAAAAAAGAAAAACATGAGCTGGGACACCAGAATGAGAGAGAGGGAGCGAGGTGGACTTTTTATACCCTCAGCGGAATCCACATCAGCCTGTTCCTCTCTGGCTTTCTGTTTGAACTTCATGTTGCCGAAGTGCATTATGCCTCCAGTCAGCTTGTACACGCTCATCTTCTCCTCAGGAGTGAAGCCCAGGACATCAAAGGCTTCCTGTGGACACACAAGCATGGAGAGAGGTAGAGTATCAGAGGAGAGTTACACAAAGAGAAGCAACAGCACCATCAACAGGCGAAGGAATGTACATGATTGGTCATGCAAAGAAGTATGTCGGGCTTCAAATCAAAGCACAACATGAATAACACAGAAAAACTATAAACTCACATCAGTGAGCAGCAGTTCCTCCCCATCATCCATGTTGTCCACCACAGTGACTCCCTGACACACCCACACATACTGTTTGGGGTCTGGACTCAGCAGCAGAGCCTCTGGAAGACATAGAGTCAAATAAATAAAGACAGTAATTATTACATGAAAGCAAATCCCACTGTTTAATACTGGATATCATTCATTATTACCAACAGAGAGGATCATATCGACCAGTGGTTGCCGGCCTTCTTTGCCCCACAGCCCTGTCAGATTAACTACCAGTCATATCCAAAGGTGTTCAATTGAATTGATTTTGAACTGTTTAACTTTAGCACCGATCATATATTACCTGCACTATTTCTTCACAGTGTTGAACTGTCAATATTCAGGTGAATATTGAGTGAAGAAGTCCTATATGAAGTCATACTGCTGATTCATACTCGTATGCGTAGTTACTATTAGTGGCACAAGCTACATTTTTCTACTACTTAACTATTACAACTGTTTATCTATTACTTTTAGGTTTTTCACCCATCTATTCCTCTACCTTAAGCTTTTTTTTTTTTTTTTAACCATTCTACTACTTTTAGCTAACTTTCTTTAGCTAAGCCCAGGCATCACTTTTAGCTTTTTCAACCAACTACTTTTAGCTAGGTACTTTAACAAGTTGTCTTTAACATACTTTTACCTACCGTTATTTCAACAAATTATCCACTAGATTTTTCACCATCTATCTACTACATTTAGCTAACTAAGTTATTTAGCTGTTTTTAATGTAGGCCTACTTTTATTTATCTTTATCTTTAACAATTTATCCGCTATAGTTTACTATTTTAACTGTTTATCCATTACTTTTAGCTTTCTGATTTATCCATTACTTCTAGCCTTTTCACCATTTGCTAACTTATCTTTCCTGTGCTCTCAATAGCAGTAAGTAGTCTACTGATGTAGACTATGTTATTGATTGCAGGTTTAATATTGAAGAATGGACTTTTATGTAAAAGAATATGGCCTCTGTAAAAGACCACTTTTCTTCCTTTGACAAATGCAGACGTGGGAAACTATTTTTGGTGTTTAAAAGAAAAGGAAACCCTGAGCTGATGGGAAAACAATAAGGTGTCTCCAGCAGTAAAAGGGATTTCTAGCTTGTAATTTCTGCTGACATTCAATTCAATTCCATATTAACTGGTGACATTGCAGCTTTATCTGTCTCACCAATGAGCTCTGGCTTCCTTCCGGACAGGAGTTGGTAGAAGATGTGGTATCCTCTCTCAGCAGCCTGCTGGGAAATCACTCTTGACTTCTCCAGCAGATCTGAAAACATCAGAAAGAAACATCACAGACACAACAAGACAAACAATGTTTAAGGATAGTAATTGTGTTTCTTTTACAGCTAACGATTTTTCATGATAATATCTTTTTTCATGAAACATAGCATGTAAAACAAAGATTTGGTATTTTACCATAGTGCACGTATACAAAGTAATAAAAGAAATCCACTCACAAGACTCAATGTCAGCACCAGCCAGCTTAGCTGTCGGCCCAAAGTGGATGCGGATGAACTTTCCCTAAAACAACATAGACATTATTCTGGTGTCAATTATATACATATATTATTTTGTTGACAATTTTTATTTAATTTTACATAGACATTAATTATTTAATTTGATGATCTTTTTTGGATATGTGTCCATACAAAGCGTGAGGAGTTGTTGTTCCTGATGGTCTTGGCGTTGCCAAATGCCTCCAGCACTGGGTTAGCCTGGATGATCTGGTCTTCCAGAGAGCCCTGAGAGGAGATGAGAGGAGAGGAGAGGAGAGGAGAGGGGAGGAGAGGAGAGAAAATTACATGATTTTGTGGGACAACAAAAGCAGCATGTAATATCCTGTCCACACACACACAAACACACACTTGCCTTGGAGTCGGAAGCTTTGCTTCCAGATGCTCCAACATTGGCAAAGTACTGGATGACCTTCTTAGTGTTTTCAGTCTTGCCAGCACCAGATTCTCCACTGGAGGAAACAAATAAGGAATTAATAATAGCGAGAGGCTACAGGCTACAACAATTTAATTTGATTTGTAAAACAAACAAACAAACAAACAAAAACATCCTTACGTGATCAGCATAGACTGGTTCTCATGCTCTGCAATAATGGAACATAAAGAGGGCAGAGGAGAGGAACAGAGAGAGGGTGAGAGAGATGAAAATAATTACTGCTGATTTCCCTCTGAGCAGATCACAGGACCACTGATGTTCTCTGTCAGCAGTACCAACAGCACAGACAGCTGTCAGCTCTCCCCTGATGCCATATAATGGCTTCAAATATTTTTCTACTCCCTGAACAAATCCTCACATGCCACACTGACTACACAACAACCCCCCAGCAACTGCCCCACTCCCTCTTTCCACATAAAGAACAGTGTAATGACTTTCAAGCAACTCCTCTCGAGGGGGTCCTCCCAAATCACCACATACCACTTGCATGTTTCCTTCTCCTCTTTGCCAACTTTACCCCCCTCCTCTCACCCATCAATGACCTACGACTGACTGAAATTTCTTCCTTCGCTCTCTGTGAAAATCCCATGTTTGATTCTCGACGCCCCGCCATCGCCCTCTCCTCACCCATCAGCATGTCGTGGTAGGCGTTGTCAGAGATGGAGAAGAGGTGAGGAGGAACTTCGTTGCGTTTCTTCCCCTTGTATACCTGGGCCACTTTGGCGCCATAGATGGGCAGCCATTTGTATGGGTTGATCGTCACACAGAAGAGGCCTGAGTAGGTCTAGAAGTGGAAGGGGACATGTAATTTAGTGTGAAGGA